TTGAGTTACTTGAGTTACTTGAGTTACTTGAGCTGCTTGAGCTGCTTGAGCTGCTTGAGTTACTTGAGTTGCTTGAGTTGCTTGAGTTGCTTGAGATACTTGAAATACTTGAAATACTTGAAATACTTGAAATACTTGAGTTACAGGAGTTACAGGAGTTACAGGAGTTACTTGGGTTACTTGAGTTATTTGAGTTACAGGAGTTACAGGAGTTACAGGAGTTACAGGAGTTACAGGAGTTACAGGAGTTACAGGAGTTACTTGAGTTACTTGAGTTATTTGAGTTACAGGAGTTACAGGAGTTACAGGAGATACAGGAGATACAGGAGATACTTGGGTTACTTGAGTTATTTGAGTTACAGGAGTTACTTGGGTTATTTGAGTTATTTGAGTTACAGGAGTTACTTGGGTTACTTGGGTTACTTGAGTTACTTGTGTTACTTGAGTTATTTGAGTTACTTCAGTTACTTCAGTTACTTCAGTTACTTGAGATACTTGAGATATTTAAAATACTTGTATACTTGACATACTTGATCTACTTGACACACTTGAGTTACAGGAGTTACTTGGGTTACTTGACTTATTTGATGCCTGCATGTAGTGTCGATGATCGATACATGATTATTAGTCCTAAATATTTCTGTTATTCATTAGCAATAATTATTCCAAAATCGTTACTCATGATTAATCAAGAGTTACATCACGTTTTATCCAGCAGTGTTTCATGCGATGAAAAGGTTAACAAGCAACATTGGATAATCATGGTCGAAGTGGTATACATGATGGTGTCGTGTCAAACCAGACGTACTCTATTTTCCGCTATCCTTCCTGCCATCGCGCCATCCCACCGTTCGAACTGATATCTAGTTGATTCTAACCAGATACCCGCTCTAATCTATATCACATCCAGGAAGTAGATTAACGGATTTAATTTCTTTCTATCGATAAAACGTTATCGTAAATAAGTACATATTAAACCATCACTTAGCTGACCACAAAGTGTAATCAATTTACAATTATTTTTTATCTTAAACGTCTATTAAATCAACGACAAATACAAATTTAAACACAAAATCAGTATAAAAAAACTTCAAAGTATTTGAAAACAGTAATTCTAATCCCACATTGATCTACTATTCCATCAATCTACAGATTGGATTCTATTCCTATCCATCCCTAAATCGGTTATCTGCTCGTTAATATCTAATCACAACCGTATATTCGAACCCCAGACCATAACAACAGTCCCATACTCTGACGGAATAACCCACTAGCCCAACCCCTTTTCATTCGAATATGAAACCCAACCTGGTTCTCTCCTCCTCGATCGACACAACGATGTGTTGGATGACTAGCCCTCAATTGGTCGCGAATCATAAAGCGCTATCTCAATATCTTCTATTTCGCCGCTGTTTTTCAAAACATGTTACTCATCACCGGCTCACTTCTCATTTCTACATACAAAGTTACCAAATATTACATTATATCTGGACCCCAGAGCCAGAGTGTATCGAGCTCACTTTTTCAATACATGACATTTTATATATTTCCCATATCAAATTTTTCTTTCCGATGGTAAAAATTATTTCGTTCTAATTGTAAGTCATTTACTTTTTTATATGATAATGATATCAAGTCCATATTTTGTTCCACGCCTAACAGTGTAAAGCCCATCACATAAAGGACACAATGCAATGTTCGCCACTTCTACATATAGAAACTTATCTCATGTCCATTTAATAGTTCGAAGGTAGTAATTATTGTCAACAAGAATGTCGAATTCTTACCGAAGAGTTCCAAACTTACAAGGTTTTTGCACCTTCGATTTGCTTTCCTCTACAGTTTAACAACTATAAATTAATGCACTCTGGCTCTGGGGTCCAGATATACAGGGTGTCCCAAAAATATGGGACAATCCTAAACATACATATTCTTCATACAAATACAAATCGAAAAGTTCTTTACCGTTTTGTAGTCTGAAACTCCATTTCCGAGATATTAGCTGTTAAACGAAATCCAATCAGCTGAGCGGTGGGCAACACGTACGCGCAGCAGTCAAGAATCAGAGGCCAGTGACCTGGGTCGTGTGCTTCTTGACTGTGTCTGCGCGCACGTGTGAGCTCATTTATCATCTAATATCTTGGAAATGGAGCTTCAGATTACAAAATGGTAAAGGACTTTTCGATTTGTATTACCATAAGGAATATACAAGTTGCAGATTTTCCTACCTTTTTGGGACACCCTGTATACAAGCTCTCCAAAGAACAAAACCAGACAGATCTTATTCGTACATCTGTAACATTCCCATTAACAACACAAATCAGTAGTACAGTGTACAGTATATCTTCGATGAGTGTTCGAAGGCTCCTCAGCACTGAGAAGGAGACATTCCCAGGTGTAACGCTGCGTTTTTAATAAGGTTTACCACAGTGATATATCTTGGGATTCTGAAGACAATAATATTTGTTTCAGCTGCACTTGGCCACTAGTTTATGAAATATTTAATATTCAATGCCAATGAACTTTCGAACACTCATCGAGAATTTACTGTACCAATAGTTTCCAAACCCAAGTCATTGTCGCCATCAAAATATATTTATTGCATTGTAATCGGTGTATGATTGACTCCAAGTTTCCAACCGATCATCTCCGAGTAGGTACGATCGAATCGTTCATCGTTCCAGCCATCTGGCTCGACGCTCCGGCCCACGTCGGTTAATTCGATGAAGCGGCCTTTCCATTCCGGTCCGTCGATTATCCCGCGCGTGAAGTTCGTCGAGCGAAAAATATTAAGGTTACGTCTCTCTTCCTCCCTCTCTCTTTCGTCGTTCCCGCGAGAACGCTCGATCTGTCCTCTCAAAAGTTGCTCCACATTCGGTGTGACCTTTTCGAGGGGACGCGGTCGGGCAAATGTCAGGGTGCTCTGGCTGAGAACCACGAGAAGAGGACGGACAAACAGACGAAAAGAAACGAAACGTGAGAGAGACCGTGGACCTCGGTGCCTTTTATCGCGGGTAGCAATTTTCGTCGATCGACACGATCCAAATCCAGGTGGAAAGAAATTACTGGAATGGCCGCCGGCCATTGAATGGCGCTGCGAATCTAAACTGGCCCAGCTAATAGGAATACGATTATTCATCCCCTCCGGGCCAGAGTGGTCCGGAACGAAGTTTCGGGAGTACAAATTGTAGTATAACGCGCCAGACCACAGTTTCTATTGCCTTTGGGGCAATATTGGGATATACAGGAAATCCTCGATGAGTGTTCGAAGGCTCCTAGACGCTGACAAGGTGTAAAGTAGACTTTTTAATGAGGTTTATCATTGTGATAGAACTTGGGATTCTGGAGCTAATGATATTTGTTTCAGCTGCATATGGCCATTAGTTTATGAAATATTTCATGTTCACTGCCGAGGAGCTTTGGAACACTCATGCAGGATTTACTGTAGTATATCATTAGTATGAATATTAACCTTTAGAAGCCTAGTTTTAGGTTTCAAATTATTGACATTTTAAAATATCATACATATTGTTGATATATTATAACTTATTTTTCTGTAGTCCTTAGACATTATTCCGCTACTCCACTTTCATGTTGGAGATAATAATGATAATGATAATAATTTATTGTAACGGGCGTAAATTCACTGAATGTACACTCAAAGAACAGGAAGAAGATATTATAAAAAAAATGAAACTTAATCATAATTAAGATTAAAACTACAGAGAAGAAAGAAAGAGGGAGTTCGAGATATTTGCAAGAGATAAATGTTTATGTGTCGGACCTTGCTTCGAAATATGTCACACACAATGAAAATAAAGCAAGAATACTAAAAAAATCATTTTCACGCGAAAATTCCATCTTATGTACTGATTACCATTTTCACTTATGAAATTGCAAATATATTTTCATCATATTTCTTATAAAATGGCCACGTTTCTCATCCCAAAGCTAAAATAAAAGATGTATTCTTTGATATTTGTAATTATATAAAGGTCTGCGCAACCTTTCTATTTTCGTTAAAGTACCCGACGGGAAGCCTATTTTTAATCTCCACGGGGGTCATTTATTTTTCGTAGTACAACACCGACAAATATATAAAAGTTCTAACTCGAAAATATAAAAAAACATAAAAAAACATACTCGTCCCCTAAAGCTCAATAATTGATTCAAAACAAAATACGTGAATATCATCCGATGAAAATCATTTCATTAACCTCACCCGTGCGAAAATTTTGCCAAAACGTTGTTGAGTTAAATTCTGATCGATGTTACATTAAATTTAAAAAGAACTAGAAAATTTATCTGGACAAAGACATTAACATTCATTTAGAGTGGAATTCAAATACTTCAAATTAAGCTTCTGAACTTCCAAAACAGCGATCTGAATGGGGGGGGGGGGGTGGATTAGACGCTAATAAAGCATCGGGGATAGAGAAGAAAGAAAGGAGCACGGCAGCCGAATAGCTAGGAGATATTAAGCCCCGATAATGGATTCTTATGTTCGGTCGAGCGTTCACTGATATTTCCGTGATATTCATTTCGCTATATTGTTGCCGGGGGTCCGCGAACTACCGTCGACGACGTCGCCGTCCCATTCCACGGGGCAAGAAACTTTCCATTCCTTAATGAGAAAACAGCCGGCATCCGGGGACAGGGAGAGGGCCGCGGGTACCAGGAGGGTTGCATTAAATGCAACTTAACTGGGGGACGTCGTGAAATGAAGGGGAGGGGGAGGGAAACGATTCGACGGAACGTCCAATTTTCTTCGAAATTACGGGCCGTTAAATCGTTTGATTGGGAACGGTCGTGTATTGTTCGCGCCACGAAATCTCTGTGGAATCTGTTCGCAGGCTTTGGATGAACGAAACTCGTTCACGTGCACATGGGCTTGTTTCGTATGAAATTTTAGGCGTTGTTGATAAAGGAATAGGTTAGTTTTAATGTTCGTGAAAGGGGAAGGTATTAACCCCTTGCTGACGAGCTTTATCACGATTTCACTCTCAAGAATTACTTTATTGTTAATGTTTTCCCGGACAGAAAAGGAATTCCATTCTTATGGCGAATGTTATATTTAGTCGAAACCTTAAATGTTAATACCAGCGGAACAGTATTTCATGGCGACTCAAAGAAAACAAATAATATACAGTGGGTGTAAAAAGTATTCGTACACCCTTTAAAACGGAACAACTTTTTTAAAATTGGTCCAAATGACTTGAGTTTTTTTTGTGAAGTTAGAGACATTAATTTACTAAATGATGTGAAAGAAAAATTTGGAAAAGTTGCAATTGGTCCGAATCGCGAAGAAAATATTAAAGGTCGTGTTTTACAACTTTTTAATCTGAGGATATAATGAAAATTTAATAAATACATATCGAAGATTTATGTTAGTTATATACGTGTTGAAAATTTGATGAAAGGTGCAGACAACTACTTTTTCTATACCAATAACAGGACCGCGAGTTTTATGCATTTATCGTAAATGTGAATGTGCAAAACACGATACATCAAAAAATTTCGTAAAAATTAGTATCAATTTTCCTTTACGCGAGAAAACCATTAATAAAGGAAACAAATCTCTGACATAATTTCAGTTT